ATTGTTTATCTAACTATTCTTAGAGACTAAGAGCTTCTAATTATAGGGTATATCTGTCTCCTTATACTAGGCAGAGATATAGACGCGTCCTTTGTAGATAATAAAAGGCAGGGTTGCATACCTAGCAGCGCAGATGCTCTAGATAACGGTAACCCACTCGCGATCACCTGGCTGAACAAGCTCTAGCCAAGCACGTCTCTCTAAGCCTGTTACAACCTTTAAAGACAAAGCAACACCTATCTAGAACCTAGTTTTATTAAAGTTGTATATATTGTTGTTGCAAACACTATACTTAACTTAAGTATCCTCTACTAGCTTAAACTATGCGCTAATTATCTTAGGATCTTCCTGTAGTATCCTCTGTCTATCCTTAGCTTAATTAAAGGCTATTTTAAGCTTGTCTAAACGCGTCACAAGCCTGCTAGCCTATAGTTTACTAATAGGCTCTTCACCACGCACACTAAGTATCTTATTAGCTATATCTGCCACCTTACATAGCTAGGGCGTAAATCCTTGCGAATTAAGGTTAAGTATATACTAGATAATTATCTGCTCCTCTAGTATAGTAAGTTTCTAGTAATTAGTGTGTATATCTAGTTAAAACGTGATATTGCAAAGGCAATTAGAGACCTGCTAATAAGGTACGTTCAACACTCTAGCAGCGCTGTGGATACTGCGAAATTAGCTAGCATAGAAGGCCTAGATAGCAAGGATAACTCTGCCTTCTCTAGTAGTATTCTGAAGTTGTTGTTGTTAAGGCATGTTGTGTTGGGGTAAAAGGTGGTTGTGCTAAGAGAAAGTGGCCAGTTTGGTGATATGGCCGGCTCGGTGATAATCTACGTTATGGCTGGCTTGGTGATAATCTACGTTATATTAGACAATTGTCTGCTCTTTTGTTGCAGTGAGCTTCTAGCAGTTTGCGCGTAAGTTGAGTTGAAACAGAGCATTGTTGGCGCGTTCAGAGAGCCTGCGCTGGTTAACATTAAACGCAGCAGCAGCAGCCCAATGGCTCTAAAATTGTCCAGTATTATAGGCCTGGAGAGTAAGCTGCAGTCTCCCTTTATGTTGAAGCAATAAGTGGTGATGTTGTTAAGACATACTGTGAAGTGCGGAGTTGTGTTAGTCTTGGCAGATTTTGACCGGTTTGGTGATATGACTGGCTCGGTGATAGAGTACGTTACATAAGATTAGAGGAGAGACACGAAATGGACGAGGACAGAGAATACACACAATTTTTACCACCCACGATCTCGTCGAGTTTATACTCTGACAACAGTACAATGCCACGATTTCCCGATTTCGACAATGGAAAAACTTTTCCCGATGCAGGAGCCCACAGACTAAGCCTAATGATCAGCAACACGCCAGATTGAGGTCGCCAAGCATGTAAAAGAGGGGTAGCCAAGCGATTTAGGACTACCAAGACAATGCCTCAGCTGATAATCGACAGAAAGGCGGGGTTGAGAGTACATAAGATTAGAGGAGACACGAAATGGACAAGACAGAGAATACACACAATTTTTACCACCCACGATCTCGTCGAGTTTATACTCTGACAACAGTACGAGAATCTGACAATAGTATACTGCGCTGTCCCCACGTGGCACTGTGCCTCGTCTCCATACCGAGGAGCCGGCTTGGCTGAGACTAGACCTGTGCGGGTTCAGCAATCACCAGGACGCACGCCTTACTATCTGAGAATTGTCGCAGCAGAGATAGACCATGTTACGCAGCGGATTGCTCCGGATGCTTCGTCTGGCTGCTAAAGCGCTGAGCGGGCTGAGCAACGCTTCGGTTGCTCCGGGTAATGGCTTGAGGTGAGTTAATTCTAGGTCGATCAGCAGTGTAGAGGCTGACTGTCTTGCGGAATAGCTTGGCAGGGGAATTTAACCACACCTTACTTAATACGGTCTATCTACCAAGATCGACCAGCTTTTAATAACGGTTAGATGGTATATGTCGTAATTTATTCAACGATGACATTCCGCGTTATCAGAAAGGCATCTCGGTTATGCCTTCTCCTACTTATGCTAGGTACTAAAGCACTTTCCCCGAGAACTCTATCATCTCAACTTCTTCATCAAACCAAGACTATGAGCACCAACTCGCCCCAACTGAACAGCTTCCCTACACAGTCAGACCTCATCAAGAGAGTGGCCTGCATTCGGTGCCGTACGCAAAAGCTCAAATGCCTCAAATCGACACATTCAGCGGTTACAAGCAGGTGTGATCGTTGCAGAAAAGCAGATGTTGAATGTACCTACGTTCCATCCAAGCCAATGGGCCGGCCAAGGACGTCTCGATCTCGACAGACAAACCCAATCATTCATAGCCCAGGATTGCAATCCGACACAACGACCGCATCACAGCAAAGCGAGCAAACTCATGAAAGATTCGATCTCAATACGCTGGTAGGAGATGCGGATCTAGCGCTGGATGCGCAGAATACGAACATGTTCTTCGACCAAATAATATCGTATGACCAAAGCGACGCATCGACGAGCCAAAATCTCGTATTCACTGCCAACGAGATGGAATTTTTGACGCCGTGCTCAAGTCAAGGTAGCCTGTCTTTCTCCAACAGCTTCGACATGTCCACGGCCAATGTACCAATCGAAGACGAAGCTGCAGGGGACCGCGGAGGAACAGCAACCGATGCATGTGCCTCAGACCGGGACTCACGAAGCAGCATGCAGCACCTAGCAAAAATCGGACTGGATCTGCACGTGCAGATAACCAAGTACCAAAAAGCCGGCGACAGCGCCGTAATGGCAGACCTAGTCTGTGATGTACTATGCAGCTCAACCGACTACTTAAATCGTCTGCTCTCATTGGATTGTACCTTCGTCTCGGGCCAAAGCAGCAAATACATGACCGACTGGACCGATGAGCAACCGGGCCAAGTATTGCAACTAGACATGTCGGCCGCATTCCAGCTTCTAATTCCCTATGTGCGACTAGTCCAGCTACACAACATCCTTTACCGGGCAATCCTCCGTTGTCTAAGTGGTGGCAGCAGCAGCGGTGGCGGCGGCGGATCCGGCATGGCATCAGCGCGGTCAAAATTTCCGGTTCTCTCGGTGGGTAACGCCTGCGTCGATGCCAGCGACACACTCCGCGCTCGACTGCTGCTGCAGATCAATATCGACCTAATGGCAGAAATCGAGACGACGCTAGAGCTGCCACAAGAAGCGAGGTTATGCCGGTCCGAGGGTGAAGGCGGAATGGGTTCCGTCATGGGCATGTCTTTGAACGAGCAGGGCTCGTGCGGTCTCTTGCGGAAGGTTGTGTCGCCTAGACTGCTCAAGACAATCCTGGACGAACGCAATCTCGGTGGTGATGATGTGCAATCCATGCGGGACCGCATTGCTTATATCAAATGCTTACTTAGATCTACCCGGCTGCACGCATAAAACGTATTCGGGACACTTATTAGGTTTTGCTAGCAGACGTTTCTTCTTTTAGAGTTCAGACGCCAGCTAGCACCCTAAACTATACATCTGTTTGCATTTTGTTTAGACAGTAGCCAGCCTTCTGTTGCGATCCATAGAACACAAGAAGGATTTAGCCAACTGGTTGCATGTAGCACAGTACCTCACAGGAATTACTAGTTAGCGATTGTAACGGTTGGGAGGAGAAGCAGATCACGTGTTGTTGGCGGCGGTCTGGTGCTGCTTCCTCATGTTGTTGAGCACCTCTTACCTCAGCTGCATCACAAACTTGTCATGCAAAACAGACCTCGCAACCAGCCTTCAACAGACAGAACAGAATAATTTAATAGTTAGACTCGTTTTACATTTGCATTTGATAAGCTGGGTAAGGTGCTTTCCGGCCACCCAACCACTTCGCGTCACCATTCATCAACGTCTTTTTTTCCCACCACCACGTGCTCAAAATGGATGCCCGTGAGACCGCTATACAATTTGCTATCGCTGATCTTATTTCTGGTGTTGAAAAAAGCCAGCGCGCAGCGTGTAAGAAGTGGGGCGCTCCCCGATCGTCGCTCCAAGAGCGCCTCAATGGCAGCAAACCTCACGCGATAGCTCGCTCCCACCAACAGCGATTGACTCCGGAGCAAGAGAAATTTCTTGTACAGTGGATTCTGGATGAGGGATCACGCGCACAGCCTCTATCTCACCCTCGTGTGCGTGAGATGGCTACCCAAATCCTCCGTATGAATGGCGACACCCGCCCACTTGGCAGGCGATGGATACCTCAGTTTCTTGCACGCAATCCACGCGTCGCCTCTATAGTAGGGAGGAAGATTGAGAGCGCGCGTACTACTGCTGCCAATTACAACACTATAAACGAGTGGCTGGAGCTGTTTGAGCGCACCCGAAAGATGCTGGGTATACCCTATGAGAACGTGTGGAATTTTGATAAGACTGCCGTCGCACTTAGTGTATGTACCAACCAGCAGGTTATCGCAGATGCGAGGAAGAAGAAGGCTTACAATAAATCTCCAGAATCGCGCTAGTGGGTAAGCGTACTGGAGTGTGTGAGCGCAGTGGGTAAGAAGCTACAGTGCGTCGTTATCTTCAAAGGCGCACACCTCTAATTAACGTGGTTTCCCTCAGTTAACACACCTAACTAGCTATACATAACCTCAATAAATGGCTGGACGTCAAATGCTATTGGACTTGAGTGGTTAGGGCGTATTTTTATACCAAATACTTCGCCATCAGGCAGTGGCCACCGGCTGCTTATTCTTGATGGCTATAGCTCCCACACACTTATCAACTTTATGTGGGAGTGCGAGGAGAATAAGATACACCTTCTCTACCTCCCTGCGCACGCGTTGCACCTTCTACAGCCTCTGGATCTTGCTCCATTCTCCGTGGTAAAGTCAAGCTATCGGGATGCGATCAGAGCGCTCTCCGCGCTAGATGACGCAGCACCTGTCAAGAAAGAGCGCTTTGTAACCTCATATAACTTAGCACGAGAGGAAGGGCTCTCAGAGAGAGTAATAAGAGCTGGCTGGAAGGCTGCTGGCCTTGTTCCGTTCAACAAAAAGCTAGTACTCAACTCATCTTAGATCACTGGGCGCCCAAGTACACCACCACCAGCAGATCAAGGCAGAGCTCTTCTTAAGGCAGTACTTGCTACACCAAAGAGCTCTCAGCAGCTAAAGCGCGCGCAGCAGGCGCTGCTAGGATCAGAGAACCTCTTGCGAAGCACCCGGGAGGTTCTCACCAAAGCAGCTAAGGCAATCGCTATCACCAACGCTAGAGCTGCTGGGCTAGAGGCTGAGAATCAACAACTCAAATATCGACTAGATAGTACTAAGACCACACGGGTAAGAAAGCGCGTTCAAATTAACCCAAATGAGCGCTTTGCAAACGTTGAAGCAATCAAGGCTGCGGTGGCTCTGGCTGCTGCTCAAGAGGCGGAAAACGCTGCCAAAAACCCAGAAAAAGAAGCTGAGAAAGCAGCTAAGGAAGCAGCAGCCTGCACTCTTGATTCTAGTTACATTTGATTGGGTGGCCGGAAAGTACGGGTGGCCGGAAAGCACCTTACCCAGCTTACCGCAACACCAATACTAGTAGGCAACAATTAGCGCATGGAACAGGATTATTGGACATCACGTAATGTAATCGGTCTTAGTGTGATGAGTTTCATTAGTATAATTAGTCATTAGTATATTTAGTAGTATTATATGTACCGAGTAGGGTATAATTTACTACTAGTACACCTAAGCTTCTGCAGCATCCGACGTGTTTCGCTAAAGCATCCGGAGCGGCCCTGTGCTTACCATAATCCATCCCTGCTGCGACAGAACTAACAGGCCCTGGATGCTGGCTAATCCAGCTTATGCCCTGCGCAAGGCTATCGCAATCATAGCACGTAGGCTTTAATCATCAGCTACTGCGCGATCTACACCGCTACCTAATGCCACACCACGTGTCCGTATATGTAGCCGCGCGGACGGGCGCTGTACTTAATTATGGTATATGGGAGCGGGAGTAGCAAGTATAGAAGTTAGGACATATAGCAACTGTCATTAGCAGACTAGCTGAGGTAGCTTCCTGAGGCTCCACTAGTGCCTTATCTAAGGTTATACGGATAGGGCCGTTCCATAGTAGCTGGCGGCTATGTAGTCGAATTTTAACGGTGGATTGTCGTTCCGAAAATCAGGGCCGGCCCATCCCTCCCCCTTCCGCTCAGCAATCCACAATATTGACTAGCAACCCGAGATCTCAGGCCGCTGTCCAGGTGCTGTGGGCGGAACTTCAATTTCAAAGTGATTTCTCGACCAGGCTAATGCGAAGCGGCTTCGGCTCGAACACCAGATACGCTTTCTGGTCCAACCAGTCTACCGGCGTGTCGTGCCCAAGACGGAGCTCGAAGTTCCAGAGCGTACGCGCAAGGAGAATCCGCGCTTCTGCAAGGAAGACCCTGGGATGACGTTAGAAGGGCATAAGTAATGAGACGTGGCAAAGATGTGCAAGTTCAGGGCAAGCTTACTTTCCGCCTATACAATTACGCGTGCCAATACTAAAGGGCTTAAATGCGTCTCTATCGTCGTGATCAAAGCGTGCGTCGTGCATCGCGTGGCCAGGCGGTACGAAACGCTCGGGATGGAACGCTAGCGGTTCGGCCCAATTGCGGGATGATGTCTGTGCGGTGTGCATGGCAATACCCATGACAGTCTACAGCGGCAGGTGAACCGTATGTTAGCGCTCAGTGACTTTTGGAATGGGTCTAGGAGGAAATGGGCGTCAGGGGTCTACGTACGTTGCCCGGGATCCACTCGCCATCTACTTGCAGTCCCTCGGAAGGAATCAGCCGGGGCAAATGAATCGGTGTAGGGTGATGTATGCGCAACGTTTCATCGATAACGGCAGCTAGATACGGTAATTTGGCTGTTGTCGCGATATTGATATCTGACTCTCGCTGGAAGGACGAGCGAATTTCGGCCAAAAGCCTCCTGAGCTGAACTGGGTGGGTCAACAGCAAATACGTTGCCGTAGCCAATGCAACTGTAGGCAATTGAGAGCCAGCGATAGTGACAGCTAGCGAATGGGTATTGAGCTCGTTGCGGGTGATACCTTTCTCCTTTGTGTTGTTGATGTTGCCAATGACTGGCGATACGAAATCGAACCGCGAGGACCCCAGGTCCCCCATTTCCAGCCGCTTCGTCACCAGATCTGCTGTATACTTCCAGTTGCGTGCTCGTATCTTAGCTGTGAGCTTCAAAAATAGGAATCCGAAGATTCTATCAAGCGGGTAAAAGTAGCTTAGGTGGTTGCGCACTGCACCGAACTTCGCCCCAAGGAAAAAGCCCGTGACCCAGTTGTGCTCGTTGTCGCCCTCGAGACCGTGGAAACTCTCGCCATATGCCAGGTCTGAAATAATATCCAGTGCTGCATAGCCGTAAAACTTGGCTAGATCGATGGTACCGTCTGGGCTCTTGGCTGCTTCGTGGCGCAGACGCTGAATGAACAGGTCTGCATACGATTCTATGATGGGTGACTGCGCCCGTAAAGCTCGATCGTTGAAACCATTCAACAGTGTCCTCCGCATACGCTGGTGTGTGCTTCCGTTAGCTGTGAAGAGCGAGTCGGCGCCGTTCAATGGCGGCGTCTGCGGGTGTGGGTCTTTTGGCAGCTGCGGTCGCTGGAGATACAAGTCGTTCCAAGCACCAGATGAAATGGTTGTCAGCTCATCTGGGCCCACGCGGACGACTTTACCGTAGTGCTCATGTAAACTGTCCATCCATTTATACTGTTGACCGCGAACGGCTGAGATGGCAAATGGAAGGCGAGAGAAGGCCGCGAATTTGGGCCCTGGGAACCTGGAAAGTGGGTGGAAATATATACAGTGAATCGCGGTTGTGATGTAGTACTATAATGAAATGTGAGCTAGACATAATTATGCTAGGATCTCTTTGCGCTGGAAGGACTTACCACCACTGCCAATATTGCGCCTGTCGTTAGTAGCTGGCCAAGCGACGGCACCGAAAACGACCACTTTTCTGCGAATACGTTCATGGCGTCAAGAAGTACGAATCAGGAGGTATCCTGTTGCCTTCTACGCTTATCTATTGGCAAACTTATGGACAGTGTAGGATCTACTTTTCGATGTAGTGACCGACTAAGAAGTAAATACCCGATGCAAATGTTACCGAGCTGAGCTCGCCCGAACAGCTGGACTCGGGCTTGAGAAATTGGCAAATACTGTACCATGTGTGTCTCAATGTCTCTAGCAGACCTGTGATTGTGGTCTAGATTGGAAACAGGTTAACTCGCCGAAACAGATCGTCGACCTTTGACCCTAATGTCCAGACAATGTGGACATACCGAACACTCCGAATGCGATCCATGTACCGGATAGATCAATAAGAACTAAGTCTTTTGACGTACAGCGTCTCGCTCCAAGCATCTTGCAGTACATTCAACATCTTGCATTTGCCTACACCACACCATGGCGCCATCCAAACCCACCCAAGCGGCGTCGGTCGCCATATTCTGTCCACAGAGCAAGGCGCCAGATGAAGCGTATCTGGACCAGCTGCGCACATTTTTCATACAACACCACCAACTGCGCAAGCTAGCAGACGACGTCCTGCGACTTAGCGAAACATGGGATATTCTTGCCGCACGCAGACCCGACATTGCTGCGCTGCACCAAGGACCCAAGTATCTACGGGCGCTACACAGCTGGGTAGAAACTGGCGCTTCAGGACCTGTCGCGAATGCCATGTCCGGGATCCTTTCGTTGCCACTGTTGGTGGTCATTCAGACATGTCAGTATTTCCAGTACCTGCAGCTTGTGGGCTTGACGCACGCCGAGTTCTTGCACGGGCTCAAGATGGGAGGCGCACAGGGATACTGCGGTGGACTTCTACCTGCTATTGCTGTTGCATGTGCAAAGGACGAGGAAGAGGTGGTGCGTATGGCGGGGATTGCTATGCGTATCGCTCTTGCGGTAGGCGCGTATGGAGAGTTAGGCGACGATGAGAACTTGCCTGGCCCTACGACGATTGTACTTCGTCTTCGATATGAGGGACAGGGCGACGATATAGCGAGGAAGTTTCCCGGGGTAAGTACCGCACCCTTAAATGATTCTCTACCTGGCTGACTTGTCTTAGTCGTATGTTTCTGCCGTCACTGACCCCAAGACCATCAGCATCGTTGGTCCTGTCCCCACGCTCGAGAAGGTCATTGCGTACGCACGGGAGCTAGGTCTACAGGCGCAAGGCATGCATCTCAGGGGAAAGGTGCACAACCCAGAGAATGCGGACCTAGCCCGAGAGCTCTGCGAACTGTGTGATGGGTTCGAGAATCTTACACTGCCGCCCTGCGAGGAACTCCAGGTTCCCGTTTACTCCAATATTACTGGCAGGCGGTTGCAGGGTTGCTCTCTCACACATGAAGCCGTTCTCACCATACTGGCATCGCGGTGCGAGTGGTGGACGCTCCTCAACGAGCTGGCATCCGCGCTCAAGTCCACAGGCGTTCAGTCGCACACGTTCGCCATGTTTGGCATTGGTGACTGCGTGCCACTGATGCCTTTTCACCAGGCGAGGCTCAAGGTTTCCAAGATCGACATTCATCGTACTATTCGGGAAGCAGAGCTCAGCGAGTACACATTTCCAGAAGATGCCATCGCAATTGTGGGCGCTGCGTGTCGGCTCCCTGGTGCCAACAACCTGGAAGAGCTATGGGATCTTATGGCAGGCGGTATCTCTAAAGCAGAGGAGATTCGACCAGATCGTATACCGTTGCATGCGAGCTTCAGGGCATCACAGGATCAGAAGGTAAGCTCAGAAGTTCCAAGCTTTCGCCTGCTATACTCTGGAGTGAAGAGTCTACTGACACATGTATATAGTTCACAAGCCGGCGGAAGTTCTTTGGCAACTTTGTCGACGGGGTTGATGGCTTCGACCACGCTTTCTTCCGCACGAATCCGAAGGAGGCGGCGTACATGGATCCGCAGCAGCGCATCCTGCTCGAGTTGGCGTACCAGGCCATGGACTCTAGCGGCTACCTGCGGTCACACAAACGTGAGGACGGTGACAACATAGGTTGTTTTATTGGCGCTTCTTTCAACGAATACCTCGACAATACTTCAGCGCATGCCCCGACGGCCTACACGTCGACTGGTACTATCCGAGCATTCCTCTGTGGTAAGATCAGCTACTACTTCGGATGGAGCGGACCCGCGGAAGTCATCGATACGGCGTGCTCGGCTTCGCTTGTTGCTATCAACCGTGCATGCCGGGCTGTTATGAGTGGAGAGTGCACGCAAGCGCTAGCAGGGGGTGTCAACATCATGTCTGGCATCAACAACTACATGGATCTGGGCAAAGCAGGGTTCCTCAGCCCGACTGGACAGTGCAAGCCTTTTGACAAGAATGCCGACGGGTACTGTCGCGCTGACGGAGCGGGACTTGTGGTGCTAAAGTCGCTGCGGCACGCGCGAGCTGATGGCGACAATATCCTTGGTGTCATTCCTGGCGTAGCGACAAACCAGGGCGGACTCTCAGCGTCAATCACCGTGCCTCATTCGCCTGCACAGATGACGCTGTACAGGCGCATCCTCAAGCAAGCAGGGATGAAGGCGGAACAGGTGTCGTACGTTGAGTGCCACGGAACTGGTACACAGGCAGGCGATCCGCTTGAAATGGCTTCAGTGCGCGAGGTGTTTTGCAGCGGTGACCGACAAGGGAACCTGCATGTCGGATCTCTCAAGGGCAACATCGGACACTGCGAGACTGCAGCTGGCGTGGCATCGCTGCTTAAGGTGCTTGCCATGTTGCAGAAGCAGCGGATTCCCCCACTTGCCAGCTTCAAGTCTCTCAACCCCAAGATTCCTGCTTTGGCGCCGGACAAGATGGCCGTGGCTAAGCAGGTGGAAGATTGGGACGCGCCCCTACGTGCGGCATGTGTGAACAGCTACGGTGCAGCCGGCAGCAATTCTGCGCTCCTATGCGTGGAAATGAAGAAGAAGAGTGTTAGCCCAGCTGGAGATGGTGTGGCAACAGCCAAAGCTACTGCGTGGCCTATTGTCATCAGTGCAGCCAGCAAAGAGTCTTTGTCACGATACTGCCATGCTTTGGACGAGTACCTGAGTAAAAACAGCAATGTGGCGCTCGGCGATGTGAGCTTCACGCTTGCGGAGCGGAGGCAGCGTCATCGATTCCAGCTCGCGACGACAGTGTCGGACATGGGCAGTCTTCGCGGGGTTCTGACAGACGGACAGCTCGAGGCAAGCATGATTGATGTGCCCCAGACCGCTCGCCCCGTAGTGCTAGCGTTTGGTGGGCAGAGCAAGCAGACGGTGGGGCTGGACAGAGGCTTGTATGACAGCAGCCCCAGGCTTCGAGCTTACATTGAAGCGTGCGACAAGATGCTCGTCGACATGGGGTATGCGAGCATCCTGCCTGCCATCTTCTCGTCAGAGCCGCTCGCTGACGTCGTCGTGCTACAGACGGCGACGTTTGCGGTGCAGTACGCGTGCGCCAAATGCTGGACGGACGCAGGAGTGCGTGTTGGGGCAGTTGTCGGACACAGCTTTGGAGAGCTCACGGCTCTCGCCTTCTCCGGCGCTCTCAGCCTGCGCAGTGGGCTGACGATCGTGGCGGCGCGTGCGAAGCTCATGGCAAGCAAGTGGGGCCCGGAGAGAGGCACTATGCTCGCCATCCACGCTGCCCGAGACGTCGTCGACCAGCTCATCCGCAACGTCGGCGGCGGCAGCGAGCTGGAGGTGGCGTGCTACAACGCCGTGGCCAGCCAGGTGGTCGTGGGATCGGCCGCCGCCGTGGAGCGTGCCGAGGCCCTGCTGGCCAGCGATGCGCAGTTTACCAGTGTGCGCAGCCAGCGCGTCGACGTGTCACATGGCTTCCACTCCAAGTTCACTGAGCCGCTGCTGGACGAGCTCGCGACCGTGGCGGCGTCTCTTACCTTCAGCGAGCCGAAGACGGCGCTCGAGATGTGCGTACCCGACGACTGTGCAAAGCAGAGCGTCGGCCCGTGGCGGATTACTCAGCACACGCGCGAGCCCGTCTACTTCGTCGACGCCGTCCGCCGCATCGAAGCCCGGCTGGGTCCCCGCTGTCTGTGGCTTGAGGCCGGCACAGACGCGCCCATCATCGCCATGGTCAAGCGCGCTGTGGCGCAGCCAGCGGACCATGTCTTCGTCCCCATGCGCTTCGCGGGCGCTAAGAGTGCTGCTGCCGTCTTGCCTGACGCCACCACCGCGCTCTGGCGCGAGAAACTCGACGTCTCGTTCTGGCCGTGGCTTGGCGGTCCAGCTGAGTCAGGGCTTAGTCATGTGTACCTCCCACCCTACCACTTCGTCCGTGCCTCTGCCTGGGTCGCCAACGTCGATCGTGCTAGCGAAGCGCGCGTCGAGGGAGATGCAAAACCCACGGTTCAGCCGGAGAAGCTCCAATCGCTGCTCGTCACCCAACAGCAGTCGGGCTCCCTGACATTCACCGTCAATATCGCCTGCAAGCGCTTTCGCGACATTGTCAGCGGCCATGCGGTGCGCGGTCGTCCGCTGTGCCCGGCCTCCATGTACATGGAGTGCGCCGTCATGGCTCTGCAGTGCCACCTCGGCTCTCGCTTCGACAAAGCCTCCGCTCTGTCCTTTGAGAAGCTCACCTTTGAACATCCCCTGGGCGTCGATCTAAGCCGTGATGTATCCGTTGTGCTGGGCGAAACTGCTGAGCCCGGACTATGGACCTTTCAACTGCGCAGCTCAGCCAAGTCGTCCGCCAATTCGCGTTTCTCTACACACGGCCGCGGCAAGGTCCGACTCGGCAGCCCTCCACAGCTGCATACATTCAAACACCTCATCGCTGAGTGCGTCGAAGATGTCGGCAAGAAGCACGGAACAGAGACCCTATTATCCAAACGCGCATATGGCTTGTTCTCACAGGTCGTCACCTACGCGCCCCTCATGCGTGGCATCCAGTCCATCACCATGGACGGCACTCGAGCCATTGCCAGCATCAAAGTTCCATCCCCTCATGTTGCCCTTGACGACAGTTCCGCCATTGCGCTCTGTGATACTGTCTCAATAGACACCTTTATCCAGGTTGTGGGCCTCCTCATCAACAGCAGTGACGCCTGCATTCCTGACCATGTATTCGTCGCCACTGGCGTGGAGAGCGCTACGCTGTCTCAAACCTGCGATTTTACTGCCACCGACACCTGGAATGTGTACGCCGTGTTCAGGTCTACCAGCGAGACAACGGCCACAGGTGACGTCTTTGTCATGACCACTGAAGGCAACATGGCTCTGACTGTCATGGATGTCAACTTCACCCGACTGCCCATAGCAACACTGGAGAAGCTGCTAGACACGGCAAATTCTGCACCTGCTGCCAAAAAAGAAAGCGCTCCCAAACATGCTGCACCTACAGTCCCAAGCCGCCGTGCAGTGCCCGAGTTGGTGACTGCAGACGATCCTCAAGCATACAGCTCCTCTAGCAGCGAAGACGGCATTGCCACTCCATCTGGCGAGCAAGATGACGGCAGTCTGCGCAAGATGATTGCTATGTACACCGGTGTATCATCAGATTCTATCGCCACACAGGCCACCATGGCGGATTTGGGAGTCGACTCTCTCGCAGCTGTTGAGTTTGCCGAGGATCTACGCTCGCAATTTGGAAAGGACATCGAGCCGGTGGACCTCCTTTCAAGCGATCTCGATGCCTTGTCCAAGCTTTGCCTGGCTCCAGTGTCAAAGCCGCTACTCATGAAGAAGTTGACCAAAGCCATTGTAGTCCCGGTGGCTCCTGCTCTTCCGGCGACTGCAACTATAACTAACGACTGTCGAAAGCGCCTCCTCCAAATCGTTTCAGACGCTTGTGGCGCCCCTGCTTCGGATATCAAAGACTCGGATACGCTCCGCGATCTGGGTGTTGACTCCCTGGCGTCAGTGGAGCTGAGCAGTGATCTAGAGGATGCTTTCTCTACTCAGATTGACGACAACGATGTGCATCTCGACTCCACTATTGCTGAGATCATTACCTACCTGGGAATCAAGGATGCGAACGGTCAAAGCTCGCTGGCCGTGTCCATCTCAACACCGATGCCTAGTTCGGCGCATACCACCAGGTCTCACTCTCCAGTCGCGGCGGTCGCTCCTCGAAAAGAGTCCAACACAACCCGCCAACGCGTGCTTCAGATAATATCGGATGCATGTGGCGCCCCTATCGAGGCCATGGGCGATGATGAATTACTTCGTGACCTCGGTGTCGACTCGTTGGCAGCGATGGAGCTCAAGAGTGAGCTCGAAGACGCGTTTGATGTCGAGCTGGACGATAGTCTACTCGATTTATCCGTCTCTGAAACTGTCAAAAGCTGTGGAGGTGCTCCTATAGAGCCTGTCAATCTACCCACAATCCTTAAAATGGCGGCCGCTAGCCTGAGTCCGCCACCCAAAACCGCCGGCAGCAAGTCCTCAACGCTGCCCGCTGACATGGCAAGCCCATTTGAATCTCTTGTCATCAGTGAAAGTGATCACACTACCAAGGCAAGAATGTGTGGGTTTCAAGATTTTGGGGCTACGGTAGCCCCCCGACAAGATGAGCTCATGCTAGCCTATATTGTTGAGGCCTTTGCGGAGCTCGGCGTTGATTTGCACGCCCTGAAAGAGGGAGCCTCGTTGCCACCACTGGCTTATCGAAGTAAGCACGCTTACGATCGACTTATGCAGAGGATCTGGGTCATTCTGGGCAAACATGGATTGGTGAAAACAATTAGCACATCACATCGCGTGAGAGGACCCGCGAAGTGCCCGCAAAGCACTTCGATCGAGCTTCTTCTGAAGATGCGGCACGATTTCCCCGCATATCGATGCGAATTTTCCTTGATGAACTTGACTGGATCCCAGCTTGGGCAATGTCTCGCTGGAAAACAGGATCCAATCGCCCTTATGTTCAAGACACGGGATGCGCAAGCCATCATGGAAGACTTTTATCTAACTTCCCCCATGCTCGCCACAGCCACAGAGATGCTTGTAGACACCATTATGGATGCTGTCTCCAGGTCCAAGGTCAACAATCCCATCAACATCTTGGAGATTGGAGCGGGCTGTAAGTATATACCTGGACTTGACTGCTATAGTGACATTACGCTAACAAATTTTCTCAGTTGGCGGAACAACAAGAAAGCTTGTGCAACGTCTGGACAGCTTGAGCCGATCTGTTAACTACACTTTCACCGATATCTCCCCCACACTTGTCAGTCGTGCGCTGAAGGTATTTGCGGACCAATATCCATGGTTGCAATTCCAGACGTGGAACATGGAACATACGCCTCCCAACGCTCTCTCTGCAACAGGTCCTTTCGACATCATCATCGGCACTAACTGTGTCCACGCTACTCAAGATCGCACCGCTACTCTCAACCGCCTGAAGGGACTGCTACAACCTTCAGGCTTTGTCGTTCTTTCAGAAGTGACAGAGATCGTAGACTGGTACGACATCACCTATGGCTTGCTAGACAGCTGGTGGGCCGATAAAGATGGTTGTTACCCTCTTCAATCTGCTGAAGCTTGGATGAGGTGTTTCAAGAATGCTGGATTTGCCGTTGCATCATTCTCGCAGGGTTCCAGTGTCGATCTGAACACACAAAGATTGCTCATTGCCAGCATGAGAAAAGACATAGAAGCGCCAAAACGCGCACCGCCACAACCGACGTTGGAAAGTGTTGTTTACAAGACGGCCGATGGCGTGGATATTCATGCCGACGTTTTCTTTCCAAAGCAGCCGCCCGCCAGCGCCATGCCCATTGGTGGGTCTCTCTGATAGCTACGCTAGATAGCTGCGGACTATGACACTGACGTTTCCGAATAGCTCTTATGATTCACGGTGGCGGCCACATGACACTTTCCCGCAAAGCAGTACGCCCTGTGCAGACCAGCTTTCTCCTCCAAAATGGTATTCTCCCCGTGAGCATAGATTATCGACTCTGCCCGGAGGTGAACCTTATCGATGGCCCTATTACCGACACACTGGATGCCTACAACTGGATCACAACCGCGTTGCCTAATTTGGCACGAGCAAAGGGTATCGTAGTTGACCCTGAGCGGATTGTAGTCATCGGTTGGTCGTCTGGAGGCCAGCTTGCAATGACAACTGCGTGGACCACCAAGTTTGCTGGTATGAAACTCCCTCTCGCCATTCTCAGTTTCTATGGACCCACAGACTTTGAGTCAGGGGACTTGGACAAGCGCCGAGCAGAAGAGTATCCAGAGAGAACAATGAAGATTCAAAATATAATCAAGGCACTGCCGAAGAAGCCGGTAAGATCAGTCCGAAGCAGTTGGATAAATAAACAATCGCTGATAATTCTTCTTACAGCTCACTCAATACGATGGAAACGGAAGGGATACTACTGGTATGGGCTGGGTTCGTCCCGGAGACCCGCGCTCCGAACTCGTCCTGTCGCTTTTCAAAGAAGGGAACGGCCTCTCACTTCTTCTGAACGGCCTACCTAGATCCAAAAACGAAGAAAACTCATCTGAAGACTTCTCTTCGGAAGACTCTGAGGACAGCTCCAAAGACGACACCGACGACGCTGATACGTGGCTCCACGCTCCCGATGCTGAACGCATTGCAGCCATTAGTCCGCTCGCACAGCTGCGCCGCGGCAATTACACCGTCCCGACCTTCGTCATCCATGGAACCAGGGACGAAATTGTACCTTACCACACCGCCGTCACGTTCGTTGACGCTCTGCACGCAGCTGGTGTTGAAGGACACTTGCTTACAGTGCAGGGGGCTAGGCATATCCACGATGTGACGCTGAAGATGGGAACTAGACAATGGGATGAGTCGGTGGCGCCTGGGTATGAGTTTCTCTTGCGACACCTGAGATGCTAAGATGGATGAGGTAATAAAGTATCTCGTGCTGATGGCGAATTTCTGTAGATAATGTGTTATTTGGGCATTTGGAATAAACTGTAACGTTTTGTATTCTTGCTTTCATTTTTGTGTTATATACTTCTAGCATATGTCTCTTGCTCTATTTAGTGTAATGGGTTCAGTACGATCCTACCCGTCCACTGCAAACAGATACGCTACCAACCCATCCCATTCCCTCGCCCTTGACCACGCACTTCAAACGAGCATAAAGGTTTTATACAGCAGCCTCCAACCTTCATAAAATCTGCCCAAACAAATCCCACTTCGGGGGCATCGACTCGCCGCCCTTAACTCTCCATAAGACTGTTGGTCGGTCATTCGGTCACTTGTTCGGTCACTTGTTCGGTCACTTATTCGGTCACTTGTTCGGTCACTTATTCGGTCGGTCGGTCACTCGGCCACACATACCCATTCAAGCCATGGGAAGGCACAGTGCAATGCCATGTCATGCAATGAGAGGCCATTCGATGTAATCACAAAGTCCCAGGATGTTTGCGTTTCTGTCGAGTCGATTCACAGTGCTGTGTTTTGGGGTGATGCGGGGAGGAACTTGGATGGTGGGGAATTGAAAATGGAGGGTTTCGGGGACCTTTGGGGATAGTGTGCGAGTATACATTCGGTGGGTTTTTTAGTGATGCGGTGGGAAGGAGGGTTGCGAGACTTTGGGGTGGAGGGTTATGTTGGGATGGATTAAGGCGAGACGATTTGCAGTCTGAGATGGTTGTTTCTTTGGAGCCTGGGACTTGAAGATACACACATTATGCAGGACAAATTCCCTGAGAATGTAGAAGAGACGTTGATTTTTTGATAGCTGGGTTTCTACATAGCGCTGGAGTAACATTAAATTTAAAAATGCAGTCAATACGCTATGACTATAGGGAAAGACTAGGTTTTATCACTCCTGATGTCCATAGCCGCCGCAAGGATACTTGGCATTCGAACGATTCACGGCCCCTCGAAGCCTCATCGGTATCGATGCAATCATTTCCCTCTTACTTTCATGCGCAGATTCAAATCTGGTTTCTCGCGCATAATAAAAACCTTCTGCTTCTCAAGCGCAAACTTGTCATCAGCCAGTTGCCAGTCGAATTGCCAAATCAGACGCGCCAGAATCAGCTTCATCTCCGCCATGGCGAGATTTTTCCCAACGCAGTTGCGCGGCCCAGTACTAAAAGGCTGGAACACTTCCTTTCTGTCGTTCGAATATTCAGACGGTGCATTGGCGAGCCAGCGCTCCGGTGCGAATCTCTCAGGGTGTGAGAAGTTGCTGGGGAGATGGTACGCGGGTTGTTGGGAGACGTTGACGATGGTCTAGAGTTCAGTGGTCAGTAGGAGTGTAAAGTTGAGGCACTGAGAAGTACAGATTGAAAGATATACTCACGCCTTCTGCCACGGCGTATCCCGCAATGATTGCGCCGCCCTTGGGAACAATGCGCTGCAGACCTGCAGGAACAGGTGGGTAGATGCGCATTCCCTCACTGATGGTAGCCTGCAGCACTTTCAGGCCGCCCACACTAATCATGTTGATGTCCTCTTGCTTGGTGAATCCGCCTGTGATCTCTTCATGTAGCTTCTGCATCGCCTCCGGGTTCTTTGCCAACAAGTACATGATTCCGCACAGCGCTGTCGCAACTGTCTCGCTTCCACCAGTGATGAAGAGACTAGCGTTTGATTCCATCTCCTCAATACTCATGCCCGTCTCGTCATTGTTTCGCAAGATATATGTCCAGAAGTCAGATCGATGCGGCTGCTCACCGGCAGCCAGGCGTTTGTGGACTTTCTTAGCGCTGAGCTTGATGTGCTGCATGCGACTCTTGATATCTTTCTTGGGTAAGAGGGCAATGATGAACGGCGTGAAAGGCTTGAACAGCCTTGCCGCTCCGAACAACGAAAGAGCCTTGATAAAAGGAAACAACAGTCCCACCCATGGATCATATGCGCCGTTCGATAGACACCCAAATGGCTCGCCAAACGCCAGATCACCGACGATATCAAAAGCTGCATATTCCAGCCAATTCTTCACGTTAATCTCGGCAATAGACTGCAACGCAAGTGCGCTTGTAAGCTGATCGATGTAACGCATTACAAGGCCCTCCTGAGCCCGCAGTGCTTTGTCGCTAAACGCGTGGTTGACCGTTCTACGTTGCCGTGAGTGGTCTGCATTGTTGGCTGATAAGAGGTGGTCGACCGTCTTGTGACTGCGCGTCATCCCCCATTTTGGAAAGTTACGATTGGGTCCGTGGCCATAGATGTCTGTCCACGCTTCGGGTGCAATAAATGACACCATATCTGGAGAGATGCGTACAGCCTCGCCATATTTGGCATGCAGTGAAGTGAGGTCACCCGGCAGGTGTCCGCTGAGTATGGATTGCGCATGGGGAATGTGTGATATCGCGCGGCTGGCAGGTCCCGGAAATGATTTCAAAGGGTGAAACACTAGGCGATAGATGGCACGGAGTATCAAAAACGATACAAGCTGAATGGTGTCAGTCGGATTTTTAGCAGAATGCGTGTATCGCTTACAACACCGGCGGCGAGCAACCATCGGGGGAGATATAACATCTCAGCAGCACTTGATATGGCCATATTGTTTACCCGAAACGATCTGTTGAGGATTGTAGCAAACGTGTATTCTATAAGCCGCTTTTATGTAAAGATAATGGAGTTTTTATGGTTTCAGCGATCGTCTACTTCGGCATCGGTCAATTTTAAGAAATTAAGCTCGGCTGTATATGTATTCACATGATCCCTTGCTGATATTTGTACTGTCGCATCAAGGGAGATCGTTGTATGTGGAGACTGTAGATTGGTAGCTTACAAGGCCGTCGACAACAGGAAATTCCACTACCAAATGATCACGCCCTTCTGTCTGAACCGTGAAAGTAACGTTATGAAGTATGCCGAGCTTGAGCCCCAAGCCTAAGACTATTGACAGATGTGAAAGTGCGTTCAAAGGATGTCAAAGTTCCCCGAAGCAAATGACCTGCCAAGACCCGCTAAATAATTCCTGGGCAGATTCCCCGTAAGCGCGCAGAGAGCTCGTCCAAGAACTTGCTCTTTGCCTCTTCCATCTCAGGTGTCTTTGTGTTACCCGTCAAACTGTAGTAAGCACGTTAGTCAGCCTTCTCCCAACTTGTTGTTATCTACTGTGGCAAACATACTCTTTGCAGACTTTGCAGTCCATAAGAAATGCACCGTGACATTCATCGCCGAGCTCCGGCTTTACTCCATGGACCAGAGTGCGGCTACCAACCTCAGTCGAGCGTGCGATTATCCCTATGGCAAAGCGTCTGAGGATGCTGACAATCCAGCTCTCTTCGTCGCGCACAATGCTGCTTTGACATAAGCCAGGCGTCAAGCAGGTAATGAGTACGTCCGATTGGTCGGAAAAAGGGTATCGTTGTGCCATGTCGCGCACTGCCCACATGAGTAGTAGTTTGGAGACGCCGTAGCTGCGATTAATCGTTAGCAAATACGCAACGCGATATTTTGTATTTCGGTCAAGCTTACCGGCTGCTCATGTCAGCCGTCTCCTCGGAGTTGAGAGCCGCGAGGAGACTTTTTGGAGTTGACTTCTCTTTCAGCGGTGCGATGAATTGTAGATCGCTGCCCACGAAAGCCAATCTTCCGGGACTTCCAGTCTTGGCTGCTGACTGTTGGAGTTTAGAGATGACAAGGTAGCCTAGAAGTACTGGACTGATAACGTTCACAGCTATTTGACTCTCGCATCCTTCGACTAAGGTAAACTTGGTGGTCATGATGCCCGCATTCTGTACCACGGCATCCAAGCGGTCTAGTGTATTAATGCGTTCACCAAACTGCTTTACAGATGAGAAATTGCCAAGATCTAATTCCCAGACGTCGACACTGCTCGGAGGGAGTGACAGCGCCGAAGAGATCCCTTCTGCAGCCTGTTTGCCTTTTGTAACATTGCGGACTGCGAGGATTAGCCTGGACGCTCCTAGGCGCAGTATGTGCTTTGCAGCTTCGTATCCGAGACCAGACGTGGCACCAGTCACGACGACCGTTTGACCGGAGAAGCTGGAGGAGGGAACCGGTGGCTGCACGAAGAACTGAGAGTGAAGAATTGTGGTCACGAAGCCCATGATAGCGCTACTGGTTTTTCAAAGATAGTAGCTAACGGTAAAGTGATTTGGGGGCTTTCAAAGTGTATAAGGTAGCGATCGTTCCAACCACATTTGTTGGGGTTGCGCAGGATGCAGCCACCGAATCAAATGTCCCCGAAACGGACCGACACGCCCGACTTGTTCATTCACATGTACAGATGCAACATATGGTGTATATATGATGCACCAATGCATTAAGTGTGCAACGGACTATCCCTACCTATCATACCCATACTTTCATACACTAGCAATCCTACATTCAAGTGAGATGGCGGCTGTCCACCCCCCAAATACTATCACGCCTGTGGGAGGTACTTCGACATACTTCGACACTGATGCGATCGTTGATGGTTCAGCGCCCAAAGTCGCGAATAGTGCTGGTTTCTTCAACGTCACCGTTGCAGCCAACCACGTACGGCTTGTATAATCTTTCTGTGAACACGGCTGATGTTAGCTGCAGAAAGAAGGCGCTGAAGAGCTTGCGCTTTTGAAATACGTATACACCCGTTCAGACCTAGAAAAAATACGTGGGGACCCAGATGCAGTTTGCAACGCCATCGATGACTTTGCTGCCACGATTCCACGAGGGCTGATGACCATCGGGGCAGAGAAGCGCACATTCATAACACACATGCTGGCTACTGCTGAGCCTGCGCCGACCACGTTTCTAGAATTTGGTTCCTATGTTGGCTACTCCGCCATCTGCCTTGCCAGCGCCATGGTGGCACGAGCTGTCCCGGGACAGCGCGTTCGCTACGTGTCATTTGAGAAGAACCCCATCATCGCGGCTGTCGCAGCCAGTCTCGCAGATCTAGCAGGTCTGCGCGACGTTATCACTATCCATGTTGGTCCAGCTGCGGAGTCCTTGACACGTCTTGTTGAGAAGGGTACAGTGACGAGAGGCACTGTTGATTTCATGCTGTTGGACCACTGGAAGGACTTCTACATTTCCGATCTGCAATTATGCGAGAAATCTTCTCTAATTAGGTCTGGCTCAGTCGTTTTGGCCGATAACATCATCTTTCCTGGTGCTCCAGAGTATCTCGCATATGTGCAGGCCGGTGTGGCAGAAGCATCCCCCGACGGCTTTAATTATGCGACCAAGACGGCTGATTTCATTCTTCCGTTCGGCGGCCTTGTGAGCAACCTTTGTGCTCTGTTTAGACATATACTAAGAACGATAGGACCAACTGGCCATTTCTACGGTGTCTTAAGCTCTCATCTTTTGAAAAGAGAGAACTGCAAAGAGGGAATAGGACTTTTGCAATACTTCAGCAGCTTAATGCTAGAGGCATTGATCAATCAGACAATTCGTTGCCTTCATGCCATACCACATGTACTCCAAACACGACAGACAATACGGACCTTACTTTACTCCATAGTCGAACTTAATAGCGTAGTAATGATAGACCCATGAAGGCAAACATGGATATATGCCACACGACAGATATCAGTTCAGTGCACTGGTTCTCGAATTACTGCATTACGTTGAAGGTAAGATATAGATATTTTGGCTATCTGTTGAGGCGCGGAAATAGTTTGCTTGCAGCACCAGACTCAATAGACTGTCGCTCGTTGTCTTCTATAGGCGCGGCGTTGATATTTGCAATCTGCGGCACGATGGTACCTTCCCGAGCGAACGGAAAGTCGCTTCCGTACAAAATGTGATCTGCATCTGCAAAGTCACGCAAAAGCTTGACGGGACTCTCGTACCCGGTCAACGCAAGGTCATAGTAGAACGACTTGGCTTCTCTTATGAACTCGTCGGCCGATTTGTCTTTCAAGCCAAGATCGGCTGTTTGGTGTGCAATTCTCGTCGCCATATACGGAAGTGTGCCGCCACCGTGAGAGAGGATGATCTTACAATTTGTAAAGTCATGAATGATGTTCGAAGTGATGAGACTAACTGCAGTTCTTGTTGTCTCATGAGGGAAATCGATTATGGGTCGGGGAATGGTGAGGTCGGATGGAGCTCCCCAGGTTTTCGCAAAGGTTGGATGTATGAAAACTACTGCATTACGACGGTGCAGTTCTTTCCAAAGGGGCTGGAAGTCTTCATGGCCCAGGTACTTGTCCTCATAGCTCGATAAAAGTGCAATTCCATCTGCCTTGAGCACGTCGAGTGAGTAGCGCACTTCCTCCAGGCAAGCGTCGATCTGGTTGAGTGGCGGAAGGGATGCAAAGAAACCAAATCGAAGCGGATGACGGGTCACAATCTCCGCCGCATAGTCATTGACCCATCGGCACAGCTTTGAAGCTTCATCGGCCGATTTGACAAATGCGAGACCTGGAGCACTAAGGGATAGTATTGAGACATCAATGTTGTTGCGATCCATGAATTGTAGGTCCAATTCAACGCTCCATGATGGGAGCTTTAGTCCTTTAGGGATTCCAAGAACTTCTTTCCACTCTAAAAAGAACATCAGCTTTTTAAATCATACGTTTCGAAGACGACGCTCACTTTGCACGTATTCCGTCGGAAGTATATGATGATGAACATCGATTCTCCCCATGGTGAGCTTTGTTGCGATGTGACGGTTTCCCTTTCGATCTTTTGAGAGCTTTTAGTCCATTCTGAATGGTCAATCGGTGTTTAACAAAGACCTCGGCTGAGTTGTGTGTCAACACCGAACCGGGCTCTCGTACTATCTGCCCGACTCAAGCTAACGGTGAGATGGAACGGCTATTGCCACGGACCACACTATGCGCATTATATGGTGTATTTCCCCGGACAGGTTCGTCAGCCACTCATTGTTTGCAAACATGATAGCCCATCTAGTTTTTGGTCTGCTCCATATCGTCGGTTTGACTTCGGCAGTGACTCAAGCGGATATCCAAAGTTACCTAAAAGATCATCTGTCCTCCAATTCGGAAGTCCTCCTTCCCAGCGATCCATCCTACGAGACAGAGCTTACAGAAAGATGGAACGCGTATAAGGCTCCAACTTACGTTGTAGGTGTGAAACCTGCTACAGTAGAAGACGTTTCAATCATCGTAAGTCCTGCGAAAAATCTTCTTTTGCCATTTGTAACATTCTGACGCCAGCGCACAGATCCGTTATGCCTCAACGAACAGCATCCCATTCATGGGTACAGGTGGCGGTCATGGTTACACTGTAACCACCAGTGCCCTGGAGAATGGAATCAACATAGACCTCAGTGCCTTTGATGGCGTCTCTATAAATACTGCAGCAAGCACGATGACGATAGGCGGTGCAGTCACCTTTAAAGATGTCTTGGACCCTGTTCATGCGGCTGGAAAAGAAATCCGTAGGTTGTTCTTACAAACAAACTCCAACCGGACGCTTACTCTTACTTCTATCAGAGACCGGATCTTGTTCATGTGTGGGAATGGTTGGCGCGACCCTGGGCGGCGGTATTGGCGTCTATCAAGGTCTTCACGGCTTGATCATAGATGCGCTTGAGTCAGTTACTATCGTGACTGGGAAGGGCGACATTGTCAATGCATCGCTCGTTGAAAATAGCGATTTATTCTGGGGCATTAGGGGCGCCGGACAGAACTTTGGTATCGTAACCTCTGCCACCTACAACTTACACGATCAGACCAACGGCGGTAATGCCTTGAACGGCGATTTCCTCTTCCCGCTCGGCGAGAATTCGACCATTTTCAATATTCTCAAATCATTCGCTGGGAATCAGCCAGATGCTTTGTCTCTCACCAGCGCCATACAATACTCGAGTAGCTTCGGAACGGTTAGTTGGAGCACACCAACATGGGTATGCGCTGCTAAATTCATACACAGGTTGTCATAATGGTCAATGCCGTATACGTAGGCACGGAGGAGGACGGAAGAAAGCTCCTCCAGCCATTGCTCTCAACCAAGCATCTCGAGTCCAACGTGACCATGATTCCGTACAACCGCCTCATCCTGGAAAATCGCTTTGGAGCGGACCCTCTCGGCTGTATTGCAGGCCTGAATCAAGCGGCTTACGGCCTGAATCTATACCATTACGATGTGGCAACCTATCAGGCGACTCTTGCTGCATACGTCGATTTTTATGCCGCGACCGGGCTAACAACATCGTACATGGTTACGGAGATGTTCCCAACCAAGGTCACCCTCGAGACACCCGACGACATGACAGCGTATCCTTACCGTGGCACAATGGCATATCTGTGAGTCCTGAGCACTATCACCTTCCATCGATGTGAACTGGCAACTGATACAATTGCAGGTTCTTCAGCTTTAGTGGCTTCACAACTAACGCTCAAATCTCTGCTATTGCTGCTTTTGCCGAAGACAGACGTGCAGCATTTGCGAAGCTCAACAGTGCGAAGGGACTGCAAGTCTACGTTAACTATGCACATGGTGACGAGGGCCGTAATGCTTGGTATACTGCAGAGAAACTCCCAAGTCTCGAGTATCTCAAGGGACAGTGGGATCCGCAAAATTTGTTTAACTTTACAAACGGTCTTACTTACTAAGAAGATGGCAGATTCTAGATCGAAGAACTCAGCTTGTATACCTTATAAATTTTTACTACCTATGGATCTATAACCTTTAGTTATTTCTACAATAGTACTGCAGAGATTTATTCTTATAGATGCCCTAGTGTTAGATATCAGTTTACTGAGGAAAGGTTGGCAAGGCCGGATCTATATAAAGACATAACTCAGAGCTCTTAGCTCTTAGCCAAGTTTGGCAAGAAAGGCAGGGGTTCACTAACTAAGCTTAGTGATCAGCAACGCGCTAGATTAAGTGTTGCGGTATCAAGGGCAAATGTATATAACGAGTGTATTGTGTTCTGTGTGTTGTCGTGTTGCTTGTATCTTTGCTCTCCAAGGCTCGCTGCGGGGTTTGTTTTGATGACGTCTTTGTGACGCAGCCAAGGTAAGAGGTGCTCAACAACATGAGGAAGTAACACCAGACCACCGCCAACAACAAGTGATCCGCTTCTCCTCTCAACCGTTACAAGATAGTTAGCAGCGTCCTGTTAGTTTACTATGCTAAGCGCTGCTTTAATATTAGCAATTTCTTAGCCTTCTAGTTAATTGTCTAGGATTTCTAGGGTAGAGGTGTGCAAGTGCTTTACTACTAGTGTTCTTAATTAGCTCTTACTTTGTGTGCAAAGTAGCCCTTAAAAGGTAATATCTTTCTTACACTTAAACTTAATAAGTTTAGAAATAATCTTATTTAGTTTCTACTACTTAGGAGCTCTATCTTAATTAATATAGTAGTAATCCTGTATAGAGTAGTGTTGTCTATATATAGGGCATTTTGCTCCCCTAGTAGAAGCAGGCTCTTAATCTAAAGGCTGCTTAAGCGTAGTAGTTTTCCTACCTACTAGATATTAATATTAAGGTCTGCCCTAGTTAGATAGCACGCTTAAAGTCTGTTAGGCGTCCCCTTTATAGCTCTAGGAGGCTGCACCCCCTTTAGCAAGAAATACAGCATTATTAGTTATAAAGGCCTTATGCTACCCTAATCTAAGGAGATAATTTATTATTATATAACGTACTCTATCACCGAGCTGGTCATATCACCAAACTAGTCAAAATCTGCTAAGACTAACACAACTCCACACTTCACAGTATGTCTTAACAACATTACGACCTATTGCTTCAACACAAAGGGAGACTGCAGCTTGCTCTCCAGGCCTACAATACCGGACAGTTTCAGAGCTATCGGGCTGCTGCTGCTGCATTCAACGTTAACCAACGCAGGCTCTCTGAACGCGCTAGCAATACTCCATTTCAACTCAACGTACGCGCAAACTGCCAGAAGCTTACTACAACTAAAGAGCAGATAATTGTCTAATATATCCTTAACCTTTATTTACAAGGATTTGCGCCTTAGCTGTGTAAGGTGGCAGATATAGCTAATAAACTGTTAGGTGTGCGTAGTAGGGAGCCTGTTAGTAAACTCTAGGCTATAAGATTTATAACGCGTTTAGATTAGCTTAAGATAGTGTTTAACTAAGCAAAGGATAGACAGAGAATACTGTAGGAAGATCCTAAGGTAATTAACGCGTAGTTTATGCTAGTAGAGGGTACTAAGGCTAAGTATAGCATCTACAACAATAACGTGCACAACTTTAATAAGACTAGGTTCTAGATAGGCATAATAGGGTTAATAAAGGTTGTCACAGGCGCTAAGAGACGCGCTCGACCTGAGCTTGTTCAGCCAGGCGATCAGGAGTGGGTTACAGTTATACAGAGCATCTGCGCTGCTGGATATGCGACCCTGCCTTTCATCATCTACAAAGGACGCATCCACATCTCTGCCTGGTACGAGGAGACAGATATACCACACAATTAGAAGCTCTCTGTCTCTGAGAATGGCTGGACAAACAACGCGCTTAGCCTTGAGTGGTTGAAGCATTTTAACGCGCAAACAAGAGCGCGTTAGGTAGGGGGATACAGGCTACTTATCTTGGACGGCCATAAGAGCCACCTTAACTAGGATTTTAAGGACTATTGCCTGGATAACAAGATCCTTACTCTCTGTATGCTAGCTCACTCGTCACACATCCTCTAGCTGCTTGACGTGGTCTGTTTCTTGCTGTTAAAGCGCAAGTACTCCTAACGCGTCTAGGACTTAGCACGCTAACGCGTCTTCTACATTAATAATAAAGGCTTCCTACTAGCCTTTAGAGACGCGTTTCTTAACGTGTTTACAAAGGCTAACTGTTAGAAGGCCTTTAAGGCATTAGGGCTAGTCCCTACTAACGCGCAGGTAGTGTTAGATTGCCTTAAGGTGCAACACTATACCCCACTAGCACCCCCTCTACTAGAGACACTGTGGCAGTTAAGGACTCTAAGCAATACACACAAGTTTAGGTCTTAGTTAAAGCTTATACATAACTCCTTTACTTAGTTACTAGTTACAGCCTAGGCTAGCTTCTCTTAGCTTATTAAAGGTGGTGAATTAATGCTGTACTAAAACGCGCTGCAAGCTGCTCGCATTACTGAGCTTAAAGAGCAATTAGCAGTCATGACTAGGAGAAAGTCGCGCAAGCGAAAGCAAATTCAGCATAGCAGCACACTTGAGTATAGCCCAGCAGCATCATGGGTAGCTGCTGAGGTTTCTGTAGCAGCTTAGCTATTAAAGAAGACTTATAGTGCAGGTACTTAAGAAAGGACCTAGTTAGCCTAACAGCGCTGTAGAAACTGTAGAGGCACAGGGCACAACGCTTAAACATGTTAGAAAGATATAGAAGAAGATTCTAAATCTAATAAAAGCACGCAGTACACTAGATCACTGTTTAATAGTAAGTAATTCAAGTTACTGCAATATAAGTTAGGCGCGCCAAGAGATTTTGACTAGTTTAGTGATATAACTAGCTTGGTGATAGAGTACGTTACTCTTAGTAGTATTTTATTATCTCCTTTTAACTTATACTAGATTTAAAGTGTCTACTATCTTAAAAGCTTGTAGCCTAGATAGGCGCAAACCTATTTATAGCTGTCAGGAAGTCCTTTCAAGTTGTTATTACATTTAATTGCAATAATTTAGCGACTTTGTACGTCTCTACTTCTGTAGCTGCCTAGTTATACTTAGCTAGCTAGGTATCCTATTGTAATGTGCTTCTTATTAGCTTAAGTGCTTAGAGGTATCTATCTTAGGCTTAACGTACCTCACGGGCGAGTGGCCGGCCCGGGCGAGTGACCGGATTTTGCCAAGACCACACCAAACTTCAACTTCTCTTGCATATTACAGCAAGTTACTGCAAGTTACTGTAACTTACAGTATACAGCACTAATCTATAGTATCTTGCGCATCTTTTATGCACGTTCGCGCGTTGTGCCCTGCCTTACTACACCTGCTACAGCGTTGTAAAGACTAAGTGCCTAGTTTAACACGCCTCTTCTTTGCTTGCCTTCTTCCTATTATTACAGGCTTTAAACTCCTTTAGGGTAGTTAAGCGCACTCCTTTACTAACAGTAAGAGTCCCCTCCCTCTAGATCCGCTTCCTCTTGTGTGATTTACAGCGTGTGGCGGCCTTATTAGCAGCTTAAAGCTCTGCGACCTAGTTGCGCACTAAAACTAGTAAATGCGCCATCATCTCTGCGCCCTTAGTAAGCTAATTAAGAGCATTAACTATTAAAGTTAGAGAGCTATTGCTATGTTATTAAATCCTCTCTTTAATAAGCTTTAATTACAACCTAAATTCTAGGGTGTTCTATAGGGTTTAAGAGTGCCACGTACTCTTATCTATAGTAGGTAGTGGTGGAGTACACAGGCGCACTTTAAGCTTTAATATTACAGCCTCTAGATTAAAGGGGACCAAGCTAGCACCTCTAAATCCTCCCTAGATATTGCTCCTAGTAATAGAGGCATTAAAAACTCCTTTAAAGCATAGTAAAAACTTAAGTTTTGTAATGCAAGTAATTTTGTTTCGCATTAGCTGCTTAGCTTGGCAACTATAGGCCTTCTTTATTAGGGCAAAACAACCCACGTTAAGCGGCTGCAACAGGTGCAATAAGTGTAGAGGCATACACAAGGTAACAATCTTATATTCTTTATAGTACTAGTAGAACTTAACTAAATTGTGGCTCTTATAGCTGTCTAGAATAAGCAGCTAATAGCTACTAACAGTGCGCTCCTTTATGTGCTTATTAAAGTGCTTTAGCTACTTAATACTAAGCTTGTTATTAGTCTAGCTATTCTTAGAGATAGTAATAACCTAGTTATAAGGTAAAGACAGCTCCTTATACTAGGTAGAGAGGTAGTGCTTGCCTTAGAAGATAACAAAGGGTAGGATACTCTATCCTAACACGTTAATACCCTAGATAATGCTAGTCTACTCTTAGTTGCCCTGCTGTACTGTCTTTAGTCTTCCACAACGCTCTAAGCCTGTAACAACAGCTCCTGTTAATATAATACCTATTATAAACCTAGACTTGTTAAAATTATAGGTGTCTTTATCTAGGATACTATACTTAGCTTTAGTATTCTCTACTAGGCAGAACTAGCCCTAGATTACCTCAGGATCCTCGCAGAGGGCTCTCTTGTAGTTGTACTTTTGATTGAACTTGACTGTGAGCTCTAGGCGACGCTTAACGAACGTGCTAGCCTAGTTCTTGCTAACAGGAGGCTGGTGGCGCTTAGTAAGTAGAGAGTTGGCCATATCCTCCACATTAGTAAGCTGGGGTGGGTATCCTCACTCGTCCAGCTTCAGAACATGCTGCACAATCACCTCCTCTTTAGTGCTTGTTAGCTTTATTAAGTTAACCTTACAATTGCGTCTTAAGAGCGTTCTAGCACGTTGTTGTCTTAGCGTTCTTTCTTACACCTTATAGATTGTTACAGCGCGTAGAATAGTAAGAGTTGCGTCTTGTTTAAGAGCCTAGATTGCAAGCTGTATATCTAGTTCCTTTAAGACGCTTAAAGCCTTTTTGCGTTGAGACATCACGGGTTGTATGAAGTTTGGTGTGGTCTTGGCAAAATCCGGACACTCGCCCGGGCCGGCCATTCGCCCGTGAGGTACGTTATTCTTATTTAATTTATTTATTAACGTGTTTCACAAGCGAGCGCCGCACTCTCGCTGCCAGAACGCCGGCGCAACAACAGCACGTAATGTCTTAACCACAACAAGCCCCTACACTCTATACTAAAGCTGATGTACAGCTTGCTATATCTAATATCTTAAGAAACTAAATTTAGAGTATCTAACACGCTAAGAAAGTCTATAAAGTGCCTAAATAAATAATCTAACACTAACACAACAGAACACGCTCTTAACGCGACTGTGAGCTAAATGCGAAGCGCCTTACAAAGCTAGAAGAGGAGGCAGTTATACTACGTATACTTAAGGAGTCTGCGCGTGGCCTACTTTCCTTAAAGGCAGACGTACAAGACATGGCAGATAAACTGCTAAGAGAGCGCGGCGCAAAGCCTGTTAGCAAGAACTAGGTTAACAACTTGGTAAAGCGTACACCAGAGCACTAGAAGCGGTGGACCCGCCCATACGATCGCCAGCGGGCTGCCTGCAAGGACCCAGCAGTTATCCAGCCCTAATTCACGAGCAGTTAACTCTAATTTAAAAGTAGATTTAAATCTATTAAGGGTCTCTAGCAAGTTTGTTAGATAAGCAGGTTAAACAGTTAGCAAAGGGCGCTTAGTAGATAGCTTATAATATAGTATTAATGCAGGAGAAAATAGGCTACCTTTAAGACGCTGTAGAAGTGTCTATAAAGCATAAGACCTATAAGCAATAATATATATATATATAAAGGAGACCCTTATAGTTAGTAAAGTAGCTAACTTAATTACTAAAAAGGAGGGTAGGGGTTATAGTAAGGGTAAGATAACTATAAAGAGGGTGCGTGTTAGACAATAATATAGGTGTTGCAGTAAGATTAGACACAATTCCTACACTTGCAAGGTAGAAATAGAGGATATAGATAATAGTAAAGCTTCTAAATAATACTATCTAGGCCTGTAAATAATTATTTATTTGTGTTGTGTTGTGATATAGCGCTGCGCAGGCGTTCTGTTGTTGAGAGTGCGGCGCTCAGTTTGGTGCGGCGCTCGCTTGTGAAACACGTTAATAGTATGTTAATGTTTGTGGCTAGCGCGTAGTTAGTAATAGTTAGAGCCCTTAGCAAGAGTAGCTTTAATAGTAGTGGTGTAGTTGTCTTTAGGTTAATCTTGTCCTAGATGTTGCGCAACAGGCATCTCGCCTGTAGCTGCGTGAGCTAGCTAGTCTAGTTAGCTTAGTCCCTAAGGACTGTTGTTAGGTCACAGTACATTAGTTGCGCTATTTTAGTTGCAGTAGTAAGACTCTTAATTGTTAGATTCTTGTACTGTGAGCCAGAGTATATGCTTAACAAGATCTTAGGTAACGTAGATTATCACCAAGCCGGCCATATCACCAAACCAGCCACTTTCTCTTAGCACGACCACCTTTTACCCTAACACAACATGCCTTAATAACAACAACTTCAGAATACTACTAGAGAAGGTAGAGTTATCCTTGCTATCTAGGCCTTCTATGCTAGCTAATTTCGCAGTATCTACAGCGCTGCTAGAGCGTTAAACGTACCTTATTAGCAGGTCTCTAATTACCTTCACAATATTACGTTTTAACTAGACGTACGCACTAATTGCTAGAAACTTACTTTACTAGAGGAGCAGACAATTGTCTAGTATATACTTAACCTTAATTCGCAAGGATTTGCGCCCTAGCTATGTAAGGTAGCAGATATAGCTAATAAGATACTAAGTGTGCGTAGTGAAGAGCCTGTTAGCAAACTATAGGCTAGTAGGCTTATAACGCGTTTAGACAAGCTTAAAATAGCCTTTAATTAAGCTAAGGATAGACAGAGGATACTATAGGAAGATCCTAAGATAATTAGCACATAGTTTAAGCTAGCAGAGGATACTTAAGTTAAGTATAGCATTTATAATAATAATATGCACAGCTTTAATAAAACTAGGTTCTAGATATGTGTTGCTTTGTCTTTAAAGGTTGTTACAGGCTTACAGAGACATGCTCAGCTAGAGCTTGTTCAGCTAGGTGATTGCGAGTAGGTTACTGTTATCCAGAGCATCTGCGCTGCTAGGTATGCAACCCCACCTTCTATTATCTACAAAGGACGCGTCTACATCTCTGCCTAGTATAAGGAGACAGATATACCCTATAATTAGAAGCTCTTAGTCTCTAAGAATAGTTAGAGAAATAATATACTTAGCCTTAAGTAGTTAAAGCACTTTAACACGCATATAAAGACATGTTACACCAGGAAAAGTTTTTCTGTTGTCGAAATCAGGAAATTGTGGCATTATACTGTGGGCAATAGTAGGACTTATAGGCCTACAATAGTTATTTAATGTGTATTTAATGTCTAGCTAATTTTAAGCTAATAGCTCTAACAGTCCTAACAGCTGTAATAGCTACAATAACTCCTAATCCTGCTATAATAGTAGCTCTGCTTAATAAACTATACTTTTATTATATTAATATACTATTAAGTCTCCTCTTTAAAAGAAGCTATTAAATAGTATTATAGGCCTATTAATAGAATAGTTATTAAGCGTAGAAGGTTTTAAGCTTAATATTCCTTACTAAGACACTAAGTTAAGATTCTTTGCTAGGGCTCTAGTAGCCTAAATATTAGAAAATACAAGAATATTATT